CACTGGCTGCGCCGCCCAAGGGAGAAGAGCAGGGCAGGGAGCCCTAAGCCTGCAGTGGGTAGCCTGCATCTGCCCCACCCCATGGGCTCCGCTCCAGCTGCACGGCCTGTGGGTGTGGGAGAGCTGGGCTCTGCACTCTGCTTGGGGTGCAGCAGCCACTGCCTCCCACAGGTGGCAGCTGGGGCTCAGGCACTTCTGGAGGCAGCAGGGCGCTGCAGACCCAGTCCCTTGCCCTGTAGTCCTGGCAGGGCCAGGAGAGGGATGGCGGGCTATGGGTGGGGAATTAAGGGCACTGGCAGGGCCAGAAGGCTGTAGGTCAAGAGTGAGGGGTACCAGCATGGCTGGGGAGATGTGGCTTGGGAGCGAGGGGCAAATGCCATGGACAGAGCACCAGCATATCAGGGCTGCTCAGTACCACAAAGCAGTGGTGGGTGGGGAGGCAGACACAGCTGGACCTGCATCCTGGTAGCAAAAGGGACCAGGGGGAGCTCTGATTTTCCATGATAAAAACCCCAAAAATCAAATGCCAACATTTACAGGTATTTAGAATTTATTTTATTAAAGTGATTGAGGCACTGGTAGGCTTCCAAACTGCTTTAAAAATTTTAATGTATCTAAAATATTTTGTGTGTGTGTACACACATACATACACACACATATGGGGGGCATTTCATTTTAATCATGGGAAAAAGTGGATTTGGCGGTTTTAAATCAGAGAATGTGCGTGTGTGGGGAGGGGGGGGTATCAGAGAATCTTTGATTTTTAATCAGAGAAAACCAGGATCTCCTCTGCTGATCAGGGACCTATCTTTGTGAGGGAAATTATAAAAAGGCTGTGCCAGGCCCTAGGCAAAAACTGCATATCCCAGGCCATCCTCAGAGTGCTGGTGGTAGAAAGAACTAAGAATTCTGCATCTGATGTTGAAGAAGCTCATACAGCAGCAAGGAAAGGATTGGGATCAAGTATCACCCCTTGTCTGAATGGCTATCCAAAGTATTATGGCTTCTCATAAGATTACTCCACATGAAGCGATGACAGGGTATAAGATGTACCTCTTAAACCTTGGTGGCTAGGAGAGGAGCCTCCGGATGGGCTCACGGATCAAGGGCCTTATGAATCAATGATTTCAGAATCTGCTTCACACCATTTCCGAAACACAGAAGGGGGTAGCTATGGCTTTGTGAGCCAATACCGAAAAGATGAATCAGTATTTGGAACCGATTTTACACCCACAGGAGTGGCAGGTAGGGGATAAGGTAATGTACAGGGCCACCACACAGACTGATGGAAAGCTGGCATCTGTCTCGAACAGGCCAGTCCCTATTGTGAACAAAGCTAGCCCTACAGTGTATCAGGTGGAAACTGCTAAAAGACGAGAAATGTTTTCAGAAATGGTTCCATGCATCACGACTGAAAAAGTGGAAAGGGGACTAACGAATCTTCTCTGTGTTTTGTCTTGCAGGAAGTGGAGCATCACCTCCAGGGCCTCAAAGAGAGTTCAGCCATACTAAACATCAAGAAGTCTGGATTAACCATTCATTTTCCCTTTTTGCTTTGCTTGCGCTAGATATGCATTTTAAGCTATTTATAGTAGGGCAAGTACTGCAATGTAGCTTCATAAATCCTCAGAACCTACACAAAGGTTTAGACCACAGAGTGAATGGTGGCATCCCCATGGAAACCAAGCCTGCTGTTTACAAATTACTTACTGAAGATCCAATAGCATTCAAACCACAGAGGGGTTAAGCCCTGCACTTCCATCACATGATGTGGAAGGGCTGATCAAACAAGACTTGCAGATACCCCCTGATCGGCACTGCCTAAATATGAGGAAAGCCCAATGGCAAAAGGACCAAAGGTTCGAGCTATCCACTAATCGCATGTTTTCGGTCACATCACAGTACCAATGTAATTCACCCCAGGTGTTAACCAAGCTAGTATGGGGCTTTGGGGGACCACAAGATGTGGTGAGCTATTTCAAATCAGATAGAAAACCACCACAGAAGGGATGGAGACAGAGACAAATGTTACTCTTTCCCCTCTGAGAGCTGAGCTACTGTAGGGTGGGTAGACACTGTGACTTTACCACGCCTGTGGATGCTAATTAACATCACCTACCTTGCAGGTTGTGTGTTGCTCCTCCTTGCAGGGAGGTGGGGTGGGATATTACCCCATGGGAACTGGAGGGAAACAGAACATTCTCTGTGTGGGTGGACCTAGGTGTGAACTGGGGTCAGGCGACCCTTGTCCTGGGTATTCCCACAAGGAGGCATGTTCTTAATTTTAGGGCCAAAGGAATCACGGCTGCCCAAATGAATATGACACTGAACCTTACCTTGAAAGGCTCAGGTACCAGGGACTTGCATAAAGTAGACTGCGGTGAAGAAGAATTGAGACTAAAGGCTGATGTTATGGTCAAGGGTGCCCCTGAGTGACATCCAGTCGGCACAGAAGTAGTAAAAGAAGGCCTCCTAGTAAAGATGTTAAATGTCTCAAGAAACCAATGTTATCCAAAATGTGCCGCATACCTTTTTGCAGGGATGGCAGGCCTGGGTCTCAACCATGAATGAAAACGTCATGTCAGGGGTCCAGCCCACCGAGCTAGACACTCTGTTGTTCATATCATCTTGGGTGCAGCAGGCACAGGAATGGGACTTTTAAACACTACTGATCAGGAAGTTTTAGGCAACAAACCTGGCTCACTGGGAACTACCCTATGGCATTTAAGTGTGCTTCTTTGCGACAGCCTAGAGGTAACTAGTAGGGTACAGGTAAATTTGGCCAATGCAATGTAGGCATTCAAACATGGCTAATGGGAAGATGCAACGATGCTGACTGATGCTCTGCTGGCTTTGCAGGGAGATGTGTTTGAAGCTATTATGTGTGTTCAGGCTCAAATCTGGTCACTGGGAGTTGTGAGAAGCATTGTTGAGCAAGGAGCGAATTGGCATATTCCAGTGGAATTAAAAGGCAAATTAGCATTAAAACTGGCCAACCAGACTGGCTTCAACCTAATAACTAGTTGGTAGAATTTGATCCAACCACCATGATGGTTAGAATGCAGGTTGATGCCATTAGCAGTGCTGAAGAAGAATTGATATACACTATATTTGTGTTGGGAGCTTGTATCAGTAAAGCTGTAGTTGTTCCCTGAATGGATAGGCACTGGGCTAGAAAGACACCCTTGGGACATGAGGCTATCTCAGTGTCTGTGTGTGAACAGAGAACAGGCCTTGGATTTTGTGCGTCATGAAGACATGTTTCAAGCAAAATCATTATGCTTAAAGCCAGATGTTGATGCTTGCCAACTTATCATAGAGGGAGAAAGTTACAATAAATCTGTAGTCACAGATGTGGACAACAGATGTGTACATATCTGCACTTGGCGTGCATCTCTTATGGCAAATTCTTGGGCCAACATTAGCAATAGTGATGTCAATTTTTGTTTGTATGGTGTTATTACTGTAAAAGGGTGTGATCCTGATTATGCCAGAAGGAAAACTGTTTTGAGTGGAATGACCGAATTAAGACACCAGCAAATGACCAAATTAAGGTGTGTGCATGTGATGGGTTTATGGAGATAGAAATTTGGCTGACAAAACAAAATGTGGACAGAATGACAGCTATAGGGAAACCAATGACTGATGCATGGAAATGAAGAGTCATCAAGGGAAAAAGAATATAAAAGGAGTTTGCAGAACAGCAAGTTGGCCTTGGCACTCAACCTCCAAGGTTGCTGACGTCTGACATTCAAGCAAAGAACAACAAGATAGTGCTCACATACCAGCTGGATGCACCACTCTCCTTGTGAACCTCCTGGGACTAGAAAATAATTGGTATTGCATTCTGTAATTATCTTGCTTGCTTTGCCTGCATTATTCTTATTTTCTATCACTGTGTATCAATAAAATTTGCCTATTGTCAAATGGGCAAACTTGTCATCGGTCGGAAGGTTGTGCTCGCCTGGAACAAGGTATCAGGACTGGGTCATAAATCCAGTGCCACCAATGACCTCCCAAAGTCCTTTCCAACCCTAACTTTCCATGACTCTATGAATGCATCTCATCTTTTGTCCTCCTCACACCTGTGAAGCTCAGGGAAAAAATTCCAGGTGCAAGCCCTCCTCAGCTGGGAATGAAACTAGATACAGCACAAGTCTGCTAGATTGTCTAGACTTTTCCCCGACTCAAAATACTTCAGCCTGCTTTTTGACGAATGCCCAGTAGGTTTGAATGTTATCAAAAGTGAGAATCCATTGAGTGCGACTGCCCCAAGCTCACAGATGCGCTTGGAAGTTTACGTCTTAATGATCTAGTGGTCTTGAATCTATAGCATGGTGCAGACTGTTTCAGGGACAAGATGGAGAGGTAGCAGAGCCAAAAGGATTGATCTGTATATCACAGGGCATAATTTGCTCTTCATTAACCACCAAACCTCCACCTTCTCCATCTAGGCAAAGCACCGTTTTCAACGTCTGGCTCTGAACAAAGCAATGTGGGAGTATGAGATTACTAACAGTGCATACAATTTCATTAATTTGACAAGCGGGAACACCCAATGGAATCTCTGCTTTGCTCCAGTCACTTGGTCAAATCTAAACCCTATAAGCATTCACATCTGCTGATCCACATGGCAAGCTTTTGGGTTTTCTGTCCCCCCACCACTGGAAGGGAGCTGCTGCTAGATATGTGTATGTGGCTGGTATGTGATGGCCACCCTCATGGCTGACACACCACGGACCTAAAAAGCTGAAAACATGAGCCAGGCTCTGTACCTGGAGGTTGTAACACCTCCCCTCCCCTGCAAATCAGCACACTGAGGGAGACTTCTGACACTCACCGGTGCGTTTTATGTGCTCCATACACACAGAGCTATTTGGTGACTCTCCTCATACAAACCCACTCTGATACTATGAGCCACACTTCACTTCCTTGTTTTGGAGGAACCCCTTTTATTTTAATGCTCATTAAGCAAATGAGATGCAGAATAGGAAACTTACTAAAGAGGTGGGTCTCACATGAAGTGCTGAAGCAGGCCGTAGCAATGGGCTTCTTGTGGGCCTTTATCTCTCCGTAACAGAAGTCAGCTGTTACATGGATCAGCTTGACAATTCCTCTTCTTCCAGCTGCTGCCAAAATATTATGGGTTCTTTTCCGATTGTCTTTATTTACCATTGTTAGAGTTGTCCATGCAACAGTGAAAAACTCCTAGGATATGGGACAAAGAGCATGGAATATGGCAGCTGAGAGATTAATAGTGATCTATAGGACTATACAGAAGCCACACCTGTAACAATAGGATCGTTTTGACAGGGGTTATATATCTCAAACCTAGTACAGCCAACCAACATTAAGGCATGTCTCCTTCTCTGCTGTCAGACTGACCCTCAGCAGAAGGGAGCAGGGTAACTAAACTTAGTCTCGATCAGAGGTGACCACCCTGCAGCACGTGTGCCACAAGTGGCACGGGCAGCTTGTGTGTGGCACGGGGCAGATTGGGGAGAGGGCAGGCAGCAGAGCCACAGATTGGCAGGGAACACAGGGCAGGGAGCAGAAAGCAGGGCAGAGATCAGGCAGAGAAAGAGGATCAGAGTGGCAGTCAGGGAGGGTAAATGGCTAATCTGTGACAGGCCTGCCAAAAAGGCTGGTTGCTGGCCTAGATTCTGAAAACTACTTTAGGATTAACAAAAGGTATGTTTCATCTCTAGCCATCACTTTAAGACCTGTCCACAATACAGCTTAGAACCATGTTCCAGGCTGTTTTATAACACAACTACAGTTTTACTCACATTCCAAGTGTTCGCTTACCTCCGCAGGCACTTTGTACTTTTTCAGCACTATTCCAGTCTCGCAGTCAATTAGACAAACAGCCTCTCCTCCACATGTAGCCACAGTTCGAGATGAGCTCACTATGGGATCTGAAAGACAGGAAGGCCTGGTTAGACTTCCCAGGGCTTGAAGTAACACTTGCTTATTACACTAGTAATCAGATCTCTGCTCATTAAAATCACCATACATCACATTTGTCATAAATCACCTTGTTACTAAGTTGTGCTTCTCATCTGTGCTGCACTGGTAACTGTTCAGTTGGCTTTAGCATATAGGGGTTTATTTGAGAAAAATTCATCCATACCAACTATGAAGACTCTCATATATTTTATAATCTAAATAGGAATGTTTATCTGGACATGGAAAGTCTATTATTAACAGGAACACCTGCTCAGGAGGTGGAGGGGCCTGGCCCCCATAAGCTGTCTGGGTAGTGCATCCCCCTCACCCCTTGCTCCAGGGGTGTCAAACTATCTGTCCCCATGGGCCAAGTGAGGGTCCCAGGCTCAGCCTGTGGGCCAAACTGGGCTGCACCAAAGCAAGCACATGCCCCTGCTGGCTCCCTGTGCCACGTGCAGCTTGTGTGACCAGTTCAACCATACATGCCACTTGCAGTGTGCACTGGCCTCGCTCCACAGCTTGCTCTTCGTGAGATGCATAAGACCAGCACAGGGTGTCCCACCACAGCAGACTGGGCCCCAAGCTGTTTGTACATGATCCAGCATGGCACCCTGGACTGACCCCTTGTGCTGCATGCAGCATCGTAGGCAGCCTGCACACCAGATCAGATCTGCATGATGCACATGGTGGACAGGGTTGGTCTGAGACTCAAAGGCTGGATTACAGGGCTCCACGACTAGATCCAACTTGAGGGTCATGTGTTTGACACCCCTACTTTACTCAAATGGACCCCTGCCTGCAGAGTCTTTCTACCAATCTTGCCAATCACAAAAGGCCACCTGTAGGCTCGGCTCTGGACAGACTCACCCTTCCTGGTCCCACCATCTAGCAGAGGCTCAAATGCACAGGACCAGAGCTGCGTTTTAAAATCTTCGCGGCTGTTGCTTTTGCTGTGACACTGGAGAAAGTGCAATGGCTCCAGAATGACGTCCTGCAAGAAAGCACATCAAGGAGACATCATCCCAGAACAGAATGACAGACAAGGAGCTATCCCTGCGAACGCTCTGTCTCAATGGTACTAGATGTGACTAGATGTACAGGCTGGCAGACCCAAGGCATTTCCACAAACCAGAGGGTGAAACACAGAACAAAAGGAGGACAGAAAACATCCCACAGAAGGAGCCTCTGATCTCACCTCCTAGGTTTCAGTTTCTTCTGCATCTAGTGCACACAGTCATCTTGAATTCTGTTCCTGGACGGATGCTTACATGTAGTAAGTGAAGCCTGCCCCAGGCTCCATTAGGGAACAATGCATTCTGAGCCCCTCCTGGAGGGTGATCTCACTCCCCATCTTCCTCTCTCAGGCACACAAACAGGGTGCAGTGCAGCAGAAATTCCAGCAAGCCGAGTACTGCAAGCAGCTGATATGGGGATTTCTCTTCCCCTTGGTGCCGTTCCTCCATGTACTAGGGAGCTGAGCACATGCACAGATCTAAAATCTACAACGAACTGGTGTCATGTTCCCACACAATTTGAGGCAAGAAGGGAACAATATGATCATTTAGTCTGACTCCCCTATACATCACAGACTGTTGCATTTCACCCACTTACCTCTATACTGAGCTATATAACTTGAGTAAAACTAAGAAAGCCTCAGTCCTCTGAAGATTAAAAACTCCTGTGCGCCTCCAGCAGGGACCAGGAGAGACTGGGATATCACTAATGCTCAGATGATCATAGCAAATCAACCACTGCCCTCCATGATGCAGAGGACAGAATCCTCAAGATCCCTGCCAGTCTGACCTAAGGGACACTTCCTTCTCAGTCCCAAATCTAGCCATGGGTTTGACAATGAGCATGTGACCAAGGCACTCCAGCAACACATCTCAGAAAAACCATCTCTGTACCACCTCAGAGCACTGACCCACCTCCCATCTCCAGCTCTGGCCAGCCCTGATGCTTCAGAGAAAAAGGGAAATAAAAACAGAAAACACATGGCCAAAGGCACTGAGGAAAACTGAATGAGTTCTATGGCACCTAGAAAATACAGAACCCTTTTATCCACAAAGTCTGGATGTGAATCCTTCTTATGTCCCCAAGAGGCCAAAACCCAAACCCAGAAAAGGGTAGCCAACACACCTCGCCTTCTAGGTCCTTCACTGGGGTCAAGCTAACAACCCCTTTGTCTTGTTCCTGGCTCTTTTGCTGCTCTGCCAGCTGGCTGGATCTTCTGTGGCTCTGTCCTTTGGGGAGCTGCTCTCCATTTCGCTGAGTCCCTTCAGCACCTTGGCCAGGCTTTGCCAGCTTGGCCTTCTGGTTCGATGCTCTTGGTTTCTCGGGTGTTGGCTCATCCTGCAAATGACTGGACTTCCTGGGGCTCAGCACAATTTCCTTGGGGTTAGGCTGGGGCCGTGGCCTTTTGTTCCCAGATCCTGCTGGTGAACGATTTCCTTTTCTCTTGCTGGGGGTTGAAATCACCTACGAGATACATTGGCAATTCATTACAGGTATTTTTCCTCTTCCCCAAGATATTCATATACCTTGTAATCCAGAGAAATTCTGCAAGGATTGGTTCCCTTTCCTGGAGTCAGATGAAGGATCTTCCATCAGACAGGGGACCCCTGGCTATCAAGTTCCCACAGGCCAACAGCTGAGGATGACCAATAAACACTTTGCAAAGAAGGCTCAATTTAAAATTTTTACTTTCTCTTCCCACAGAGCCATGACTCCAGTCCTGAACCCGGGGATGGATGGAAAGACAGAATCAGGCCCACGGGACCCAAGGCTACTGTCCGCAGCTAAGATTAAGCCAAGTGCAGCAATGTGGCCATGCTGAGGCAACCTTACACACTTTGGCCAAATGCCAAAATTGTTCATTTCATTAAAAATATCCCTTCCCAAAGGGGCACTGAGACCCAGCCCTCCTTCTCAGTCTCCTGTGAAAACAGGGGAATCTATACCTGGATAATGACCCAAACTGTCCTACTGCTGGGAAAGATGCAAAGCCGGCAGCAGAGGTTAAGCCCAGCTGTTAAAACAAGATAAAAGCCAGGACTGTCCCAGAGTTAGAGAGGAGGAATACCTGGCAGCAGCCAATGAGCACTGTGGAATTTGTAATCAAATTGATAAATAAAATGAACGAGATCCATCCTTGGGGTTCTGCAGGATGTTGTGCACCTGCTGCACACTGGCCTGGAGGGCTGAGAAATCCCCCGCCCGCTCCAAGAGGTAGCCCGGTCCAGTGTCTTGGGTACTAGACTAGCCAGGAGACCCGAGTCTATTTCTAACTCTACAGTATTCCTGCAGAGCTCTACTTCCCCTCTATTTCTATGCCTTTCCCTTCACAGCCTCTTTTCTCTCTGTTCAGGTTGTAAGCTCTGCAAAGCTTGGACTACTGAGTTATATACATTCAGTCATGGGCAGATCAAGGATTTTGAAAAGGCTGGGGCAGATGGTGCACATCATCACATATAACACAACACATTTTTCCCCAGGTAAGAGAAACTAGAACTTTTACTAATATGGTAGGGGGCCAGCACTATTTTATTCAGTTTAAAATGAAAGCAAAAACAAATATAACTATTGGAATGTGTACTAGTTTGCTAGAGTATACATAAAATTGAAAAAAAACACAACAAACTAGACATAGTCAAAAGGTATAGTATAATTAGTTTTGCAGTCATTATAACTAAAAGTACAACTCTTATTCAGATTCATAAAGTAAATTCTAGCCTTCTTAAGCATCCTGACAGCAGCTCCAATACTTCAGTGGCAGTCATTTATTTCTATATCTGAGCTAATGTGACTACACCTGTACTAAGGTTTTTAGCTACAGCTAAAAACAACCTGCAGGGTAGAGAAATGAAAGAGAGACACTACGTAAAATGGCTAAAAGATAGCAACACTGCAGAAGGGATAGTTTGAATCTGAAAAATCAAGACCAGGCTAGAGGGTGGCTAACAACTGTGGTATGGAGAGAAAACAACAGGATAATAAGCCAGGAAGTCAAATGACTTTCAGCACTTCCTGAATAGAAACGCTGCTGCCCCTCCCAGGCAGTTGGTTCTAAAGTTTGGGTGCAGCAGGTATCAAAGGGAGTGAAACCACGCTATTAAACCCCCCTGGATCTGCCCCTGCTCACAGTGTTTAGCACAGTGAGGCCATGATCACAGGTGGAGGCCTCTGGGCACAACCATCCTACAAATAATTAACAGCAGCAGCATTCGTCTGGTATGGAGCCTTGCAAGGCACTTTAAGACCTTTTGGAATGAAAGGCAAGATGAGATGCTTGTGCAACGGCATGTCTTCACTTCCTTGACAGGGCAGAAGAATCTGCTAAGTCTCAAATGCAAAAATAAGCTATTTGCATGCAGGTCTGTTAGATCATCCAATATCAACTTTGCAGAATTCCAGCCTGCAAGCAGCTGCTTGGAGCTAAGGAGAACAGAAGGCAGGGGGTGCCATATGTATGTGGAGAACTCCCCACAGGCAAGTCTGGGAGGGTGGGAAGGAAGGGGGCCAGCTGGGGGAACAGGATGGAGTCACAGGTAGCTTGACCAGGGAGCAGCAGAAGGGCTGTACTCCCAGGGAGAGCAGAATGGGTAGGGGGGATGGGAGGGAACATGCTGTGGGCTTTGGAGCTCCCCGCCCTGCTGCCCTCCCCCCAGGGGCCTACATGGGTAGGACTTGATGTGGGAGGGCAAAGAGGCACGGTGCTGTCACCAGGACCTGTCCTGCTAGGTGCTTTGCCATAGCTAAGCACCCCTGCCTGCCCAGCAACAGTGGGTGGCACAACTCCACGCCACCACTGTCCCCACTGCTGCCATGTGGGCAGGGGATGCTTCACCATGGCAGCTTGGTTGGTGAGGGGTCCCCGCAGCAGCATTGAGCCTCTCTGCCTTCCTGAGTCGGGTCCCACCCACTGGCCCGCAGGGCAGGGAGCCCCAAGCCTCCAGTTGGCATCCTTCCCTGCAACCACTGTGTCTGCTCCAGCCATGCAACACATGGGGGGAGGGAGGGGGAAGGGGACAGGCTCCATGCTCTGCTCTGGTCACAGTAGCCACTGCTTCCCACAGATGGCAGTCAGGGCTTGGGTGCTGCTGACGGGAGCAGGGGGGCTGCAGGTTGTGAGTGAGGGGCACCATCAGGGCTGGAGAGGGTGGTGGCTGTGGATTGGGAGTAAGGGGCACTGGCAGGGCCAGTGGACTGTGGGCTACGAGTGATGGGCACCGGCAGGGCTGGGGGAGCTGTTGCTTGCAAGTTAGGGGGAAAGGCATGGCACCAGCATATCAGGGCTGCTCAACACCACAGAGTAGTGGGAGGTACAGCTGCAGCTGGATCCACATCCTGGTGAGTGAAAGGGGTAGGGGAAACTCTGATTTTCTATGATAAAAAACCCCAAATCAAACCCCAAAATATACAGGTATCTAGAATGTATTTTATTATAAAGATTGAGGCACTGGTAGACTTCCAGACTGCTTTAAAATTGTAAATATATCAATAAAACATTTGTGTTCAGCTGATACCTATATATAATGCTGTTTCATTTTACTTGTGGAAAATGCAGCTGTTGGGTTTTTTATCAGAGAATTTTGGGGGTTTTCAGAGAAGTTGGGATTTTTAAACAGAGAAAACCAGAATCCCTGCTGCTGAAGGTTAGAGATCAAGGTGATAAAGCAGAACTTAACTCGGTCTAAATCTAAGTTGGAAAATCCAGAGTTCACAGTCCCTTCTCTTACTGTGATTTGCTTTTTCAAAAAAGAGAGGTGAGGCTAGAAAAATATTCCTGCCTGCAAGGGCTTTTACCTGATCCACTTCCTCCATAACCTCCCCAGGGCTTTCTGTATTCTCCTCCTCCTCCTCCTCCTCATCATCCACCCTTTCCTCCAGTTCAGGGTTTGTGTTCTCTTCCTGTCCCAACAAAGATTCCAAGAATTCTTCTGCTATTGTCTTCACCTAATGTTGCAAGTAAAAAGACAGTGGTTAATGTTCAAACTTTAATGAAGGACAAAAGCTGCAACATCTGGAATGAATCAAATGTTCAATTAAAAGATGTGTGCACGTGTATGTGCATTTGTGCAGGCATGCACACACTTCTATATGGAATTTATAGGTAAAGTTCTGTATGAACTTTATAGGTGATGGAAGGGCCCTGGGCTGTCATCCAGGAGACCAAACCTCACAGAACTGATGTAACAAGAGAAGCAGCATAGCAACCCGGTCAGCACCAACCCTTACCAACATGCCTTACTCCCAACCTGGAGGGACCATTTCTTAGGGGCTGGAGGTTCAACCTCATTCAGTCTACAGCATTCCAGCTGAGACTGCCAGCATCCAGTGTCAGTTGCAACAGTTTCAAGACAGATTATTTTAGAGTAGGAAGAAGGAACAGGTGTCTACGATAGGGTGGACACTGGAGGGACATAGTGACAACTGAAACTAGGTATTTTCCAAAGACCATCACCCCTATTGACATACACCCAGTGGGGCACCCAGACACCGTGAATGATGCATAGCAGACCTGAGTTTGGAGATCTACCCAAACAAAGCATGTAGACACAAAAGAAATTTCAGTGAATCCTCTGTATTGGCACAACTCTATGGTGAAATACCAGCCTGTTGGGACTGGGAGCGTAACCTTCACGAATGACTTCTACCCATGGGTCCTTTGTTTTACTGCTTTTGTCTGAGCCACGTAGACCACTGATACCAATAGGATGATCTATGAAAGCAATGCAACTACAGTAAAGCTAGATGAAGAAGACACAAGGCCTGCAGTATACACATTACAGAACTGGAGGGAAGTCTTCCCTTCAGATACGGAAGGCTTATCTGCCATTAGCTTTAATGGGAGCTATGTAAAATGAGCACAAAAATACCCTACAGAGAAGCTGCTACAGTATAACCTCATAAATCTGCCGGAAATTTGAAAAGTCCGTTTTTCTGAAACCAGAGTGATGGCTGGTCCCAAAGCAGCAGCCGCACATGGAGCAGGGTGGTGGATGGTGGCAGCAGCCGTCATGCGCAAGCTTCCCCCTGTGTCCAGGGGGAGCAGCAGCCAGTCCTGGAGCAGCAGCTGCACGTGGAGCAGTGGCATGGGGTGGTGGATGGCGGTGGCAGCCACTGCATGCAAACTTCCCCCTTTGCATGCAGGTGAGCAGAGAGGGGAACTTAAAAAGTGCCAGATTTTCTAGAATTCTGGATTTATGAGGTTATACTGTATTAAAATTATTCGCTGCTTGCAAATCATGTGTTCATAAAATTTCTAACACTTAATCATCATAAATGTCTTAATTACTTAGGAGCAGAAAATAAAATTTTCATGGCAATCGCTGCATTGGGGATGGGTTTTTATTTCTGGTACCTGTGTAATATCCACAGTTAATTAGCAGAAAACCTCAGAAATGCTGATTGACAAGAGCCTCTGAACATGAATCTGCAGGGCATTTTGCCATGTATGTGAACCATCACTGAGGCATCCTTCTTCATGTGCCTGAGATGAAGGTCAGAAAGGCAAGTGAGTAACTTACCCGCCATCGGGTAAATTCTCGGAGTGAGCTAGGTCCAAAGATGACGTGGGTTTGAACAGATTTCAAGAACTTCTTCCTGATGGCTTTTACATCCTCAGCTGTGCAATCCTTGGGCAGTTGGTCTCGGAAGTTTTTCTCCCAGTAAGTAGTGACCTAGACAAAGAGACTTGGTTTACTCACCAAAACACCACAGAAACCAAGACAGAAAAGCACAAGGTCCCCTGGGAAAAGAAATGCGGCTGGACTTAAGGCTTCTCCTGGTCTTCAGGAGTGACGTTGCCTGCATATCTTTGATAGGAAGTTAATTTAATAAAATAATTCAGAGCCTACATGGAGTGGGAGTATCATAGGCCAATCGTTTTTGTGTTTTCCCCTTCCCTTTTAGTTTTCAAGTTATGTGGCACTAGGAACAGCCATGCTGTAAGCATGTACAAAAAACAGTAACTCACAAAGGACCCAAACTGCTTTACAAAATATAAGTCCAATCCTGGAAACACACTGGTAATTTTACTCTCACAAGCAGTCCCAGTGGGTAAAATTAGGAAGTGCAGGATTTGAGCCCCGTATGTATTATATAGTTTATACATAGACACAGAGAGATCACGTCACTCAATGCAACTGCATCTCATGTAGGATGGCAGCAGCCAGATCCACAACACTGCCACAGAGAAGCATGAAAAGAAGTGTTCTGGCCACAGACATCAGGAACAAACAGAAATGTGTGGCAGAAAGCTCAAGATCTCTCCAGAGCAGAGAGCACTCTCATCCAAATAATCCACAAACACTCAGCTGCCTGGAAGGATGAGGGGCTGAGTAGATCTCACCAGGATCTGAGTTCGTGGTACCAGGAATCCTGGGTATTACAAACCTGGGGCTGAGAGCACTAGGCCATCCCAGTCCTCTAAAGTTATGAATTGATGCATCACTGCTATTTTGAATGGTTCTGACCAGTGGCAACTGATCTTACTATAAATGGTATAACTAGCGCTGCAAAATATACAATTTTTAGTGACAGAATTTTACTCACACACATGATCACACTGTGCTTTTAGGGGAGAACCAGAAGCTAAATGAAGGTGAAATGGCAAGATTCAGAGGAAGGGCATTCCAAACAAAGGGCCATAAGAAGTGCAAGAGCAAGGCCTTGTTCCATGTGCCAACTGAAGACAGTGAGACCATTAAATTGTACTCCTTGTTTCTAGGACAAAACTGTGGTATAAATTAGAAGAACCATGGGCTGCAGAGCCCTAGAGAGCTGTTATGTCAATCTCAGGGACTTCTCTATCTTACCTAAGTTATCACAACAACCCAGAAAGGCTGGAATCCCGAGACAGCTTCTCAGTCACAGTCCCTGTTGAAAGGGGGGACAGGGTCTAGAATACGGCTGTCACATGAAATCCTCTGCTCCAGAAGAATTCCTAGTTGCAGATCTGCCAGCTCTGCGGCCCCTGTTCATCAAGGGAGCCAGCACACTAATCACCCACCAGAGAACCTCCAAATCAAGACCCGTGCTTCACTGTGCTGAACATGCAGATTTAAACAGGAGGGAGTAGATAATTAAAAGAGGAAAACAGGGAGCATAAGAGGGCTACTGAAAGCCTGGCCAGGGATTAGGAATTACTTACAAAGACTAACTAGAAGGCAGTGAAGGTAACTGAGGCATTTAAATCTCAGGGTAAAATTAGGAAGTGTAGCATTTGAGCCCCATATATGTTATATAGTTTACACAGACACAGAGAGATCACGTCACTCAGTGCAACTGCATCCCATGCAAGGCAGCAGCAGGCATATCCACAACCCCACCACAGAGAAGCACGGGAAGAAGTGTTTTGACCACAGACATCAGGAACAAACAGAAAAGTGTGGCAGAATCCTCAAGATCTCTCCAGAGCAGAGGGCACCCTCATCCCAATAATCCACAGACACTCAGCTTTTGAGCCCCATAAGTATTATATAGTTTATATACAGTGCAAACTATAGGGTAATACAGACAGTGCACAGTGCCCATCCTCACTGAAGAGGACCTTGTGCTAATAGTATTTAAATCCACTTGTTGCCAGCAGTTCCAATGGCAGAAAGGACAGGGCTTGAAGAGTTAATCAAGTTTAATATCAAGTTTAATCTACTATTTGGTCATGTACAGAGGGCAAAAATATTGTGTGTCTTACCTTACTGGTGAGTTTTTGACTGCTGATCTGTCTCACGTGATCAGCTAATTTGGTCACATCCTTGCCATTGAGTAAACGAAGGTTTTGTAAAAGAAATATGACCTTATGGTCATCATTGCGCTGCAGAGAGAAAATATTTAAGTTACAGACACCCACGCACATGTATTCACTAAAACACACAGACAATGCTTTTCCATTACCAAGCAAGCAGGGAGAGCAAAGCATATTTACACTGGAAAAAGCGTGGCATAAAAATCAATCAAACACCTTGCAGGATTTCCAAAGCATGTAGACTCAACTACAAATCCAAGGAGGCTTTTGCTGGCTTTTGCAGTCCTGCAGACCCAACAGCCACATCCAGATGAGAGCAGCCATGCGGCGTGGCATCACAGACATGTCTGTGATGCCACATACCACACACTCAGCTGTTCTCTGCGCCACAAGGGAGCAGTGCAGAGAGCGGGCGCATTTTTTGATCCCTGGATATTCAGGGGTCAACCCCCCCACACACACATACACCCAAAAAAAGGTGGAGAGGCACATGTGGGGACAACATGCACTGCTCAAAATTGAAGCCTGGCTGGTCAGAGCCACACTCCGGCTGCCAGACAGGCTCCAAGCGATAGGAACGGTGCTGCTGCAGCTCCAGGAGGCCCCCAGGACCCTAGGTAAGGCTGCTAGAGCCAGCCCAGTGCTGGCCCCAGCCTCCCTTACCCTACCCAGGGTAGCCTGTCACATGCCAGAGGGTGTGTAGCACAGACGTTCCCCGGGGGACAACCAGTGGCAGCACAAGGTATGCCCCCGCTAGTTTTCTGCGGGCAACCAAACATCCACACTCATGTGGGGGCTGAAAGCCACGTGGGGACCTTTCCTGATCTTACATCTCCAGAGGTACATTCTGCAGGGGGACTGCAGAGCTGAAATTACATCTGCAATTAGAGCTTAGTTAACTGTGCTGCTAATGATCCACCTTGTTCTCCCACAGCTGTGGCAAGCCTACAATGGAGTGTGCAGTAGCTCAGGGGTTTTTTGGTCCCCAAGGCTAGTAGCTATGACTGCCTGTGCACTGGGATCTGTAAAGTAAGAGAACATTTTTACAGGATCCATTTAACACTGTAAGCTGTTCATCTTTCACATATCATACAGAGTCTTCTGACCCAGCAAGCATCCCACCATGGAAAACTTCCTGCTCCTGGCTTAAAAAACAGAGCACTGGCTTGAGAGTCAAAGGATCTGGTACCTATCCTTGACTCTCGACAGACCAGTGTCAGTGACTGTAGGCAGGCCACCTCTTTTCTATGTGCCTCGGTTTCCCTTCTGTAAAAACAGGAATAATGACACTGTCCTCCTTTACAAAGGGCTTTGCAATTTCCTCATGGAAAGCCATTATAAAAGAGACAGTTGCACTTATTACTGATTTTCCATTTACTATGCTGCAATGAAAGGAATCGCTTTACTCACTGTCAAGTCCATGTTGTTCTCATAGCTTAGCTCCTCCAGCTTTGGGAACTGCTTTAGGGTGGTTACATCATCCAGCTGATTATTACTGCAGTTGAGCACACGCAACTCGGGCAGAGTGAGGCTGTTCGGAAACTTCACCAGTTCATTATCAGAAATGTCAAGTTTTTGCAGGTGTCGCAGCCGGGAGAAGAGCCGTGGGTCCAAGTCTCCAGTCTTTAATTGCAGCTTGGATAGGCTGGAAACAAACCAGAACACCTGCTACCTTGAGGTCATGCAAAGGTAAGGGTAAAACCTGATTTTTAAGGGATATCAGGTTTCATGTTCCTGCAATTCTTCTTCTCCCAGGCAAAGCTAACTGAGCAAAACAGTTACACCCACCCTGCTATTCTGTTTTCCACACAGCATAACATATTTCCATTTTCCCTTCAATTTCATGACAAATAATTTAAGAAAAAAAGGGGTAGCCCAAATGGCATCCAACCAGGATTTTACTCTAGTCTATTTCTACTTACTTCAGGGTCTCAATCTTTCGAAGCCTGGTAGACCTGGGAACCGCTCTTTCCAACAGCAGCTCTGTAGTGATTTTTGACATTTTTAAATTTCCGCCCCTTTCCCGGCAACCCGAAGCTGCTGGTAGTCCAATATCCTCGTGGCGCCTTCCTGGAAAGGCCCAGGCGTTCAGCAGAACCCAAAAGAAACCAGATGCCAAAGAAAGGAAGGAGAAACCCGGTTATAGCGAAGCCATTCCTTTATTTTTGCAACGTGGGACGAGAATCACTAGCCCTGCTCTGCAAAGGCGTTAGCAAAATGTACCAAGTCGGTCCCACACCACCGCGAAGGGCCCGGCCCTGCCCAGCCTGGCACCGCTCGTGCCAGGGAGCAAACCTGCTGCCTGCCAGGGCAGAGACATCCACAGCTGCCCTGGGGCCGCCCTCGTCTGCCCCCAACACTGCTCCCCCCGCAGAAAACGAGGCCAAACCTCCCAAAGCGCCTTCTAGCGCGGGCTGCCGGCGACACCGGGCAGCCCCCGGGACAGCTGGTGCCGCCGCCGTCAGGGCGGGGAGCAGGCGCTGCGGGGCCCCCGGACGGGCCTGGCCGGCTGGTCCTGGACCGC